TACTATTTGTATTTAATAAGTTAGTTAACTTATTGTTACTATATGTAACTGTTACTATATTTATTTTACTAAGTAGTTATTGTACTATATGTATTTAATAAGTTAGTTAACTTGTTGTTACTACATGTAACTGTTACTATATTTGTTTTACTAAGTAGTTATTGTACTATAGAAATTATTCAATTGGTTGATATGATAATACGAATTGATCAATATTTCCACAATTATTATTATTATTACTAGATTGTATTATGAAGAAAGTTATATTAAATCTTATCATTGATCATTAATAATATAATAATAATTGAAGAAGAAAAGTAATAATAGAAAATAATATATTAACTATTAATATATTTCAACTTTATCTACTAGTATATGTAAATAAATCAAACACCTATGTTAATTTATATTACTAAACATAATTCTAATGTTCACATTCCTCTTATTTTTTACTTTTAGAAATGTTAATAGGTATAGTTGAGAAATAGTTAAACATAAGTATCGTCCATATCTATTTAAGGATGATTCGTCGTCAAATAAGAGTTATGCATAAAACGAAATAAGAGGTGGTGGTACATACTTTACTTACATACATACATATAAGTACGTACATACGTACGTACGTACGTTCGATTCTCTCAACTCTCTAAGGGGTCAAACGGCGACATCAGATTTATACGATCGCCATTTAATTCTTTATAAGAGCGCCGACAGGACGATGAACGTTGGTGGTACGAGAAAGAACAAGATAGACAGTGTATATATATATATGTCTGTGTATATATATATTTATATATGTGTGTAGGATGAAAGAGAAATAAAGAAAGAAAGAAAGAGAAAGAAGATTGTGGCAGAAGGGCCAGCAGGGGCACGTCAGGCCCCTTGGGCCGTCATAAACAATAGCGTGGAGTAATTGATTCTCTAATAACTTAACGCGCTAGCACGAGGTGGCCACTAACAGCCTTAGGTAGGCATAATGTATTGCAGTCGGCAACAACTCCAGTGCTAAGGAGTTGGAGAAGAAGAAGAAGAAGAAGAAGAAAGAGTAGAAGAAGGAGTTGGAGGAAGAGATGGTGTTGGGGAGAACCTGGGGGACCTGGGGGAGTTGGGGGAGTTGAGTAGGATTGGGGGGGCGGGAGAGGGAGGGAGAGAGAGTTCGACGAGCACACGTAGGCCTACGAGGGCTGTGAGATTTAAGAGCCCAAGTCGATAATAAAGCAGCCACCTTGGAAAATGGCAAGAACCCAACGCGTTCCTCGTACCCGAGGAAACCCGTCGCCTCCATCGCTCGAACGAGATATACGATCTCTCTCTTTCTCTCTCTCTCTCTCTCTTTCCTCTTCTCTTCTCTTCTCTTCTCTTCTCTTCTCTTCTCTTCTCTTCTCCACCCCTCTCATCTTCTTCTTCTTCTTCTCTTTCTTTTTTTCTATTTATTTCTCTTTTTCTTATTCTCTTTTTATCTCTATTTCTCTTGGTGTCTGAACGTTTGTCGACATGATAGGTAGAAATAGTGTCCCAACTTATATACTACTCTTATACTACAGGAGATCGTTGAAAAGACTATAGTTATAGTTGTAATCGTAATCTTCGTTAGTTGTAGTTGTCATCAAATGGCACACGTTCTTCTTTTTAATTCTTCAGTTTTATCTAATGATAAAAGTTATGGGGAGAGGGGAGTTTTGGTGGGGGTTCTTTTCCCTTACTTTTTATATATGTATATATAATGATAATATATATATATATAATGGTATTTTAATAATATTAAAAATAATATATTATAATTTAATTTAATAAATAATAATAATATAATATAATTTAATAATTATTAAAATATATATATAAATTTAATTTGTAATTCTTATTAATTCTTTTGTTGTTCTTATGTTGCAGAATATATGATGAACTTATTATCAAATAAATAAAAATGAAAATCATTGGAAGATATTTATTAAATATTGTTTAACAATATATAAACCAAATATTAAAATATATAATATAATATATATATATAATCAATATGAAATAAAAGGAAAGTGTGAAGAATAGAATAGCAATGGTTTTGGAATGAAGAAAGAATGAAGAAGAAGAAGAAGAAGAAGAATGAGGTGGTGGAGAAGGGTGGAAGGGCGGAAGGGAGGTTGAAGGGATTGCGATCGTCGGCATCGCGTAGCCTGTCATTAGGCTCGATATATCTCACGACGGTAACAACCTATCGTAAGGAAGAAATGACACCAAGAAAATACCCTTTCGATTCACTCGTCGTGCTGACCTAGACGTAACAAGAAACTTCCTTCTGTTCTTTTGCAAATTTTTAACTAACTAATAAGTAAATGGTACAATTAATCTTCTATGCTATTTTTTATATTGATTTTTATTAAATATAATTATTTATTTATTTATTATAAGGTTATACAACACCCCATTGTGTCAGTTCAACTCAACATTGTAACTTAATCAAGGTAAACAAATATAAAATCATTCAATTATTCATCTAAATGAATTCTAATAGTATTTTTGTCAATTAATGATACAATTAATCTTCTGTGCTATTTTTTATACTGATTTTTATTAAATATATTTATTTATTTATTTATTATAAGGTTATACAACACCCCATTGTGTCAGTTCAACTCAACATTGTAACTCAATCAAGGTAAACAAATATAAAATCATTCAATTATTCATAATATTATTTTTGTTAAGTAAATGGTACAATTAATGTTCTATGCTATTTTTATACTGATTTTTATTAAATATAATTATTTATTTATTTATTATAAGGTTATACAACACCCCATTGTGTCAGTTCAACTCAACATTGTAACTCAACCTAGGTAAACAAATATAAAATCATTCAATTATTCATCTAAATGAATTCTAATAGTATTTTTGTCAAGTAATGATACAATTAATCTTCTGTGCTATTTTGTATACTAATTTTTATTGAAATAATTTATTTATTTATTTGTTATAGGGTCGTATACCATCCTTACCTAGGTAAGTAAATATAAAATGATTCAATTATTCATCTAAATGAATTATAATATTATTTTTGTCAATTAATGATACAATTAATCTTCTATACTATTTTGTATATTGATTTTTTTATTAAATATAATTAATTATTTATTTATTATAGGATTATATACAACCCTATAACTAATTATCAGTCCTAAATAAGTAAGTACAAAATTATAATTTAATAATTAGTCTTCTAAATGGATTATAACATTACTTTTATATATTTTTGTAGGATTGTTGTGAATATTTGTCTTATATGTGACCCAATTATCTTTAAACATGAATATTAAATTGCAAGATCAATTAGATCTCTCATAATTATTATTATTATTCAATAATAAAATATCAAAATGAATACTCAATGTTTACCAGAAAGAATAACGAATATATATATATATATATATATATA